CTAGAAATGTTGAACTTAATTTTTTTCCCATGTGAAGGGATGCTCTCTTGACCTGGACACATGGGGTAGGGCCTAGGCCTGGCCCAGAATGATGTGGTAGACTTTGCAAAGCCCCCTTTGAGGGCCTTACCCTGCCACAGGAGTGGAGGGGGAATGGCTAAGGGCAGGGTTGGAGGGGAGGGGAGGGAGAGGGAGAAGGGAATGACATCTGAAGCAAGCTTGTTCCTAATTTGAACTAATAAAAACATTTAAAAAATTCACCTTTGCATGTCTACTCTGCTTCTTACTAGTGAGTGCTCTCTAGTCATTGATAATACTTCAGCTGCCCCCATTATTCACTAACATCAGTAAGATCCTAGATTCTTTGGACTTCCCTTGTTTAAACAGTTGGAAAATTCCCATGGAGTAGAACGTCTTCTTAATTTGAAAGTGTGCAGCAGGTGCCAATCAAGTCTTTTGTTTTGTTTTGCTTTTTCGAAATACTTTGGGTCAGATCAGCACAACCGTTACGGAAGGGACAGTAACGGTTTCATAACCACCTGCTATGCAATGACCGGAAGCTGTTAGGGTCTGTGGTCCAAGTTCCGTTCCAAGGTGGCAGAGCCTGGACCAGCTGAATCTAGGATCTCTGGTAAGATGCCAAATATCAAAATCTTCAGTGGCAGCTCCCACCAAGACTTGTCCCAGAAGATTACTGAGCGCCTGGGCCTGGAGCTCGGCAAGGTGGTAACTAAGAAATTCAGTAACCAGGAGACCTGCGTAGAGATCGGTGAGAGTGTGCGCGGAGAGGACGTGTACATCGTTCAGAGCGGGTGTGGCGAAATCAACGACAGTCTAATGGAACTTCTGATCATGATTAACGCTTGCAAGATCGCCTCAGCCAGCCGGGTGACTGCGGTCATCCCGTGCTTCCCGTACGCCCGTCAGGACAAAAAGGATAAGAGCCGGGCTCCCATCTCTGCGAAGCTTGTGGCAAACATGCTGTCGATAGCAGGTGCAGACCACATCATCACCATGGACCTACACGCTTCTCAGATTCAGGGCTTCTTTGACATCCCGGTAGACAATTTGTATGCAGAGCCCGCTGTCCTGAAGTGGATAAGGGAGAATATTTCTGAATGGAGGAACTGCACGGTTGTCTCTCCTGATGCTGGCGGGGCCAAGAGGGTCACGTCCATCGCAGACCATTTGAATGTGGATTTTGCCTTGATTCACAAAGAACGGAAGAAAGCCAATGAAGTGGACCGCATGGTTCTTGTGGGCGATGTCAAGGATCGGGTGGCCATCCTTGTGGATGACATGGCTGACACTTGCGGCACAATCTGTCATGCGGCTGACAAACTTCTCTCAGCGGGAGCCACCCGGGTTTACGCCATCTTGACTCACGGAATCTTCTCTGGCCCAGCCATCGCTCGCATCAATGGTGCAGGCTTTGAGGCAGTAGTGGTCACTAACACCATACCTCAGGAGGACAAGATGAAGCACTGCACCAAAATCCAGGTGATTGACATATCCATGATCCTTGCAGAAGCCATCCGAAGAACCCATAACGGAGAATCTGTTTCCTACCTGTTCAGTCATGTTCCTTTGTAAAAAAAGAAAAAGAAAGAAAGAAAGGAAAAGAAAAAAGAAAAAGAGAGAGAGATAGAGATATTTTAAATGCAGTAAGAGAAAATAAAACCTGTTCAGTGTTTTTTGCTTCTGTGTATGATGAAATGCTCAATAGGAGACCCATGAGTCCACTGTGGCCTTGAGATAGGGGATTATGGAGTTTCCCGACTTGGTTCATTCTGGCTCCTTTGACACTGTGAGTGTTGAAGCTTTCACAACGCCAATCCCTGCAAGGTTTCTGATCTCCCAACACACTGCATCAAACTACATGAGGACAAACCAGCTACAAAGCCATTCGGATCTATCAAACACAATCACATACAGCAAGTTCACCAGGGTCTATGGGAAACTTCAGCAAGTACCCAGGGCACTGCTAGCCCCTCTCCTGGATTCTAAATACACTGGAAGGCAAGAGCATCTCCTGGTTTATGCCAGCATTGGGATCATCAAATGTACACAGTGGAGCCTTCTTTCACTTTAGCTTTCTGCCCAGGCATCCTCTTCCTGGGCAAATATGGAATTGGGTTCCTCTGTTCATAACTTGTGGAAAGCAACGCCTCTAATAGGTAATCTTTAATATTTACAGTGGGTGTTTTGCTGTAGCTGCAAACGACCACCATGGTTGTTTAGGTGGCATGCAGTGCCTTCCCGGTAGTTTCAACATTTATGTTGTATTTTGAGATCTCTCATATCTTTTAAGGAGAGCCAGTGCAGTGTCTGGGTGTGTATCAAAGTGAATGCCTATGAAAATTGCGTGACATTTCTCATCTCCAAGAAAGCAGAGAAATGCCCCAAGAATTTCTAAAGGCTGAAACAAAAACAAATAGATTTAAAGAAGCAGTATTCAAGCAGCTATTTGGCTTCTCATGTGAACTGCCAGGTATATAAGCAAGATGGAATGTCACCTTTTTATTTCTACAGAAATAGTGTAAGCCCAACTTCCTGTGTTTATTCTGATTTGAAGGCAGTATTAAGACAAGTATTTAACATTAAACGATTAAGAAAATTTACCATTATGGTTCCTTCCAAAAAGTAGTGCTTGAAGTTACTAAACCCTCAGTATTTGGGAAGCCGTGGAAGGAAGATTGAGAGTTCAAGGTCTGCTTATGCTACATAGTGAGTTTCAGGCCAAAACAGCCTGAGATACAGAGTGAAACTCTATCTCATATACATTCACTACATAGATAGATAGATAGATAGATAGATAGATAGATATAGATAGATAGATAGATAGATATAGATATATCCATATACTAAAGCAACAAAATCTATCACTAGTAATAAAACCCCCATGCAAACTTAACTTTTGCTAAGGAATAAGAAAATGTCTGAAATGAGTACACTAGAAGCCTGACTAGGAAGAATGAAATTGCACTGAGAGCTTCTTCAAATTATCTAGTTGGCAAAAACCCAATTAAGATCCTTACAGGGATTTTTTAATAAAGCAAACTGGACAGGCTTTTTTCAAAGTTTGTCTGGGGGGAAAATGAGCAGAATTCATCAAGGACTTGTTGAGAGTGTGTTTCATTATAGTATATTAAAGCACAAAACTATAGTACTAGAAACAGGAATGTACACACAATACTGAAGAATTTAGATTCTCCAAATGCACCCATGTACACTTGCAGGAATTTCATACACACGTGTTCCATGTAATGGGGCAACTGGCGTGGCATGCTACCAGAGGAAGCCCATAGCTATATCATCTTTAGGATACTCATTCTCATGAGTCCCTGCGGAGGTGTCTTCCTATCTCCCACCTTGGCATCCACTCCTGCTGTCTACACAAATGCTGTGAATGGAGAACGAGCCTTTTGATGTATTTTTAATAGATTTCATTCAATTGTTCATCTTTCCAGGCCATAGTAATGCAAATGGTGAATGTCTTCATGCTCCATCAATAGCTTCTTAATGCTATGCGATCCTTCTGTTTCCTGAAGTAAATACATAACTTCTTTGATTATGCAAATGAATGTATACACTATATAATTGTATATATATATATATATATATATATATATATATATATTATATAAAAACCGTTGAATTTATATACTCTTACTTGTATCTGCTTGCATAAGTTTTTAGGGTTTAACAGTCATTTTAACTGCCCAAAACTTCTACTTTAAGCCTCCACTTTAAGACTCATTGTAGCACTTCTGTTTAAATGAAGCTTGTCAATTTCATACAACCAGTTGAGACAAACTTCTCACAGAATACAAAGCAAATGAAGAATGTCCATTTACGTTGTAAATAACATGTATTTAAATCCATCTAGTTATTATAGAAAAAAATAGGAATGAATAGGGAATGTATAGAGGCTAGAAGGATTTTAGGGTATGATTAACAAGGCTAGCTCAGCTAGAGAGATGTCTCAACAATGAAGAGCACTGTTGCTCTTGCAGAGGACCTAAGTTCAGTTCCCAGCACCCAAACAGGGGCTCAAGAACTGCTGTAACTCCAGTTCCAGGAGATCCAGTGTGCTCTTCTGGTCTCTTTGAACACCAAGCACAGGGAAGGCAAACACCCATACACATAAAATAAAAGAGGAAACAAAAGAAAAGGCTAGATTGCTTTGAAGTGTATGTGTTTGAGTGTGTACATATGTGTGTATATGTTGTGTGCACATATGTGTATATGTGAGTGTATGAGTATGTGTGTGTGTTGTATATGCATGTGAATCTATGTGTGTTTATATGTATGTTTATGGTGTGAATTAGTGTGTGTTTGAGTGCATGTATGTTTGTATATGTGTGTGAGTGTATATTGAGAGACAGAGTGTGTATTTGTGTGTATGTACATCACCATAAGCAGATTGTTAGCAAAATATGAATATTAAATGTATTTCTGGTGATGCCTGAAAACAAAATGGGGAATAGATTATTGTAAGCTAAAGGAATGTCTGTACTTGTAAAATGGCACAAAAGTTGCTCTCCTTTGAACATAAAATAAGCTGGAAGTGGTGAACTTGGACATTTTTGGCCTAGGAGATTCTAGCCTAAATATTTAGAGTTTCATTCCTCTTTGCTACTTATGAGAAAACAGGGGAAAGTGTGAAAGGAACAACACAGTAAACAGTGCCAGGAGCCCGAAGCCAATTACTTAGTAAGTTCTCAGCCTACATAGATTTGCAAAAGATGCTAAAATGAAGAAATTCATTATTGGTAAAGCGTGCTCTGGATAGAAGCCCCGGGGAGTGCCTGCACAACCTTTTGCAAAAGAAATAGGTATGTGACTCATGAACACAACCATCTCAGAAGAGGCAGGAACATCACTCAAGAAGCAATAGAATCATAGACACTCAGCTAGTATGCATCTGCCGATTTTTTTTAAGTTGAATGAAAATTCCCTAGGGAAGGATAAACCTAGCAATAATGAAATGTCTTAAATACCAACTTAAGGTTTTTTATTTACTCAAAAAAGCAATGGGGCACTCTCATAGGTTTTTGTAATGTATTTCCAGTAGGTGATTGATACGATGGAAATTGTACATTTTGGGGAAACTGAGCAGCAATGAGCAAAGAAAATTGCACTGGAAAACATCTGCAATTGGAAACCACAGCATCTTGGGGAGGTTGCATTTTGGGAAATATACATCTCTCATTCACAATAAAGATGCCTAGTCCCACATTTCATTCACAATAAAGATGCCCAATCCCTAATTTCATTCACAATAAAGATGGCTAATCCCTAATTTCATTCACAATAAAGATGCCTAATCCCAGATGGGGCAGATGCTAGGGTGGGCAGTGGGGGGGAGGGGTAAATGAGCTGGTCTGTGAAAAGAACTGGTCCTGTAAAATGATAAACACAGGATCTCTATGACTTGGGGCAACAGAGGGATATCCAAGTAGCGTTTCAGTGAGGATCCAGAGAAGATGGTGTACCAGAAACCAGAGGCCTTGAACAGACCAGTGACTCATTGCAATGAACATTTGCCAGTCAAGCTGATAGGACAAAAGGGTACAATGTGTGACACACCAAGGGTCCCAATGCTACCAGGACAAATGAAGAGGTGTTGGAGAGGTGAGAAAGATGGAAGTTCTGGTTATGATATTGTTGTTGATTTTCTTTTTGTTTGCTTGTTTTGGTTTGTTTTGTTTTGTTTTTTATTTTCTTTCAGGGGGCTGCTGAAGGGGGTAAGGAAGGAAATGAAGGGGATGGAAGGTGAGTAGAATTGGGGTGTATGATGTGAAATTCCCAAAGATTCAATAAAGAAATTGTGTTAAATAAAGATACCTAAGCCCTAATCTCATTCACAGAAAGATGCCTAATCCCTATGCACCAAGGACCGACTGCAGGAATTCAGTATGAGTGTAATGTCGAAATGGATCTGGACCCTGCATGTCACTTATCAGATGCCATGATTAATGATGTTTTCTTCAGAGTGGCTTCATCGAGTGTTTGCTAACATGCTTCCCAATTCCTAGTGCTGTTTCAGAGATGCAGCCAGATGATTATACCGTCAGGCATCCTGCATGAATTAGAAAAGATAAGGCCATGATTGAATAGTTTTTAAATAATACATTTGTCCAGATTAGTTATTATGCAACTAGTGACTTTTTCAGTGGCTTTTGTACTCATCATTCTGTTTTTTTTTTTTTTTTCTTTTCCAGGAAAGCCATTAATTTTTTTAAAAAATTTAAATTTATTCTTCTCTCATATATTACATCTAAACCACAGTTTCCCCTCCCTCCTTGCTTCTCAGCCCCGCCCCCATTTACTCCTCCACTTGTTTCCTTTCAGAAAATGGCAGGACTCCCAGGGATATCAGCCAAACATGGCAATATCAAGTTGCAATAACACTCAGCACCTCCCCTCAAATCAGGGCTGGAGGAGACAACCCAATAGGAAGAAAGGGTTCCAAAATCAGGCAGAAGAGTCAGAGATATCCCCTACTGCTACAATTAGGAGTCACACAGGAAGACCAAGCTACACAACACATATGTAGAGGATGTAAGTTAGACCCACACAGGATCCATGATTGTTCTGTCTCTTGAGCCCTGCTTAGTTAATCCTATGGGTTTTCTTATGGTGTCCTTAAACTCTCTGGCTCCTACAATACTCCTTCCCCTCCTCTGCAGAAATCCATTAAATTTTAGCCCTGATTTATTTGTATATACTATGTAATACCTGGGATAACTCATCATTTCATGCAAAGTAAAGAGACCTCTTTTGCAGCATTAAATTGTCTCTGGTTTGGAAATAAGCAATGACTAGTATCTGTTTTACAGACTGAAATTACGAATTTATTCCTTCTTGTTTGCTAGTTGGCTTTCCTATTGAGCAGCCCTACCTCTTAAAGAAAAATTAAGGAAATAGGCTCTGAGTCCTTGGGGAATCACATAAGATGTTAAGGCAGAAAACATGCATATAGTCATCAACTTTCCATTGCTATGACAAAATACCTAGGTAATTTAAAGGAGGGAAGATTCTATATGTTCACCTATGGATGCTTAGATCCCATGTCTCTGGACCTCAGCAAAGCAGGACATCATGACAATGGTGGTGAAAGGAACCAAGGAAAGAGAGAGGAGCAAGAGAAAAGGCAAAAAAAGTGAGATAGCAAGAACAGGAGACAGCATGAAAGCAGCAGAGTGAGAGGGGATGAAAGTAAAAGAACGGGTTCAGAAACAAGATTTTCCTTTCTTTTTTGGATTTGTCTTCCAAGACAGGGTTTCTCTGTAAAGCTTTGGAGCCTGTCCTGGAACTCACTCTGTAGACGAGGCTGGGCATGCCCCCAGAGACCTACCTCCTCCAAGCAGGCCATATGTTCTAAAAGTCCAAGCTATGAATTCATCAAGGGGACCAATCCACTAGTGAGTTTAGAACTTGTGATCCAATCAGCTATCAGGAAGCCCTCACCTTCACACATAACTCTAAACATGGTCACATTAAAGGCAAATCCCAAAATACATGAGTCTTCAGGACCATTTCTTATCCAGATTTTACACACACACACACACACACACACACACACACACACACACAACACACACACACCACCTGTCACAGGAGCAGCAAGAAGAACTCTGTGGCTGAAGCAGAGCAAAAAAGAAAAGGGAAGCATGGAGACATGGTGCTTGAGAAGAAGCTGAGGGTTCTACATATGGATAGGCAGGCAGCAGGAAAAGAGAGACGTACTAGGCCTGGCTTGAGCTTCTGAGACCTCAAAGCCCACTCCCAGTAACACACTTCGTTCATCAAAGCCACACCTACTCCAGCAAAGCCACACCTCCTAATAGTTCCCACTCCCTATAAGCCTCACATTCAAACACACGAGTCTATAAGAGCCATTCCTATTTAAACCACTACAAAAATCAAATAGACTTTAATTTTGTTGGAGGGTTTTTTTTTAATATAATGGGCCCTTTTACAGTCTAGTTTTGTACAGACACACATAGTTCATGAACTGTCCACTCAGTTAGGGGTAGTCACAGCCCACTTCTGTCCATTTCTGTCTTGTTCTTTGTCAGCTGCTGACCTTGACTGTCTTCTAGCTCTTAACTACTGGCTAGCATTGCAGCCTCTGACCTTGTAGGTGTCCCAAGTGCTGTTAATTACACTAAAGTGTCTTTGCTCTCATATTTATATAACAGTGTGTGGCTTTGCTGTTGACTCCATCACAGACATCCATATGTAGCTGCAATCTTTCATAATCACCTCATATTTAGCTCCATGTCTATGGGGCTTTCTGAGGTATCCTCCTGAAACCAGTGGAGTCTTTTGATGATGCTATCTTTACTTAATCAGCTATAATTAGCTACATTAGGGGCTTGAGAGATGTCTCAGCAGTTAACAGTGCTTGCTCCTCTCAGAGGACCCAGGTTCAGTTCTACAAAACTACATCAAGTGGCCCATAACTACTTGTAATGATAATTCCAGGGGATCTGTCACCCACAAGTGCCTTAATGCATGTGGTACACACATATACATACAAATATATACAGCTGTTGAGCCAGCTCCTTTAAAAGCACTGGCTGATTGGCACAAAACAGACAGGTAGACAAATGGAATCGAATTGAAGACCCTGATATTAACCCACACACCAATGAAAACCTGATCTTTGACAAAGAAACTAAAACTTTACAATGGAAAAAAGAAAGTATCTTCAACAAATGGTGCTGGCATAACCAGATGCAGACATGTGGAAGACTGCAGATAGATCCATTTCTATCACCATGCATAAAACTTAAGTCCAAATGGATCAAAAGCTTCAAAATAAATCCAGCCACACTGAACCTATTAGAAAAGAAAGTGGGAAGTACCCTTGAACGAATTAGTACAGGACACAGCTTCCTGAACATTATATCTGTAGCACAGACACTGAGATCAATAATAAATGGTACCTCCTGAAACTGAGAAGCTTCTATAAGGCAAAAGACACAGTCAACAAGACTGAATGTCAGCCTACAGAATGGGAAATGATATTCACCAACCACCCATCAGACAGAGGGATGATTTCCAAAATATACAAAGAACTCAAGAAGCTAGTCACCAAAACACCAAACAATTCAATTAAAAAGTGGGGTAGAGAACTAAATAGAGAATTCTCAATAGAGGTATCTAAAATGGCTGAAAGACACATAAGAAAGTGTTCAATATCTTTAGATATCAGAGAAATGCAAATCAAAGCAACTCTTAGGTACCATCTCACTCCCATCAGAATGGCTAAAATCAAAAACACCAATGACAGCTTATGCTGGAGAGGATGTGGAGAAAGGGGAATGCTTCTCCATTGCTGGTGGGAGTGCAAACTTTGGAAATCATATACCCAAAGGATGCACATTCATAGAACAAGGACATCTGTTCAACTATGTTCATAGCAGCATTAAATGGAATCTTGAAATTTGCAGGCAAATGGATGGAACTAGAAGAAACCTTCCTAAATGAGGTAACCCCGTCACAAAAAGACAAACATGGTATGTAGTCACTCATATATGGATTTTAGACATAGAGCAAAGGATTACCAGCCTACAATCCACAGCTCCAGAGAAGCTAGGAAAAAAGAAGAACCATAAGAAAGGCATACATGGTCCCCCAGCAAAGCAGAAAGGGACAAGAACCCCTGAACAAATGGGGAGCATGGGGGAGGAGAGGGTGATAGGAGAAAGAGGAGGGGAGAAGGGGGGAGAACATGAGGAATCAGGAAGATTGAATGGGGACAGGAACAGCAGAGATCAAGAAAAGAGACACATCAATAGAGAGAGCCACAATAGGTTTAAAAGGAAATCTGACACTAGGAAATTGTACAGAGATCCACAAGGATGACCCCAACTAGGAACCTAAGCAATAGTGGAGAGGCTACCTTAAATGTTCTTCCCCTATAATGACAATGATGACTATCTTAAATGCCCTCCTAGAGTCTTCATCCAGTAGCTGATGGAAGCAGAAACAGAGATCCACAGCTAAGCACTGAGCTGAATTCCTGGAATACAGCTTCAGAGAAGGAGGAGTGACGAACAAAGGGGTCAAGACCACGCTGGGAAACCCGCAGAAACAGCTGACCTGAGCAAGTGGGAGCTCATGGACCCCAGTCTGACAGCTGGGGAACCAACATAGGACCAAACCAGGCCCCCTGAATATGGGTGTTCCCTAGGAGCACTGGGCAGTCTATGGGCCTCTGGCCGAGGAACTAGGATGTATCCCTAGGGCATGAACGGACTTGGGGAGTCTATTTCCCACAGAGGGATACTCTCTGAGCATAGATACATGGGGGGAGGGGGGGCTAGGCCCTGCCCCAAATGACTTGACAGATTTTGATGATCTCTTATGGAAGGCCTCACCTCCTTGGGGAGAGAGTGGGGGTTGGGATGGGGGTGTTACTGGGGGACATGGAAGAATGGGAGAGAGAAGGAACTAGGATTGATACGTAAAATAAGATTGTTTCTAATTTAAATAAAATGTATTTAAAAAATCAACACTGACTGCTCTCGCAGAGGGCTCCTTTGATTCCCAGCACCCACATGGAGGCTCACAGCAGCTCTAAAGGATAGGATGAAAACCCTTTAACCCTTTTCTGGCCTCTGTAGGTGCTGCATAGATGTGATCTACAAACATGCCTGCAGGCAAAACACTTGCACACATAAACCAAAAAAATAAATAAATCTTTAAAAATTAATTCAGCAAAATTAAAAGTTAAAAGCTGGAAATAGCTACATGAGAAGCAAGAATGTGTGAAAGGCCAATAATGGCTTGCACATGCTCCTCACGGCTTCTTATTCATCTTGCTCAGCACCTTAGACTCTGCTGTCTTTTTTTTAATGCATTGGTGTTTGTCTGCATGTAAGTCTATATGAAACTGTCAAATCCACTGGAATGTGAGTTAAGACAGTTGTGAGCTGCCATGTGGGTTCTAGGAATTGAACTGGAAGAGCAGCCAGTGCTCTAAACCAGAGCCATCTCTCCAGCCCCAGCCTCTGCTGTCTTAAACCTTAATCCAGCCTCCATTCTCTCGGCAATGTGTAAGCAATTTGCCGTTTTTTGCAAAGGGTTCTTCTCCCTAAGGAGCTATAGAAAGTTTGCTCCTGCATCATTTGAATCTTACTATCTGGATTACTAACCAGTTAATATGTCTTTGAACCTCTGATTTTTTGTGTTCATAATTAAGACAGAATCCACATTATTGATTTAAACAAAGCTTTCTTGCCATTCTGACGTTTAAAACTTTACTTTTTTCCCATTAGTGTGTATTAATTGTGTGAGGATGAGATTTCACTAAGACATTACCCTACCTGAATAGAACAGTCATATTTATCTACCTTTGTAATGACCCCCCCTTTCCCTTTCTTCCTTCCATATATGTAGTAGTTATTCTAATTTCAGGTCATTTCCCAATAAATTCCATATAAGCAAAACTATTTGTCTTTCTGAGTCTAGAGCAGTTCAGTTAACACAATGATATTCAATTCTAACTACTTTTCTTCAAATGACATAATTCTATTCTTTATGGAGGAGTAAAACTTCCACTGTGTGTATATTTCACAACCATGTTGTCCAGTCCCATGTTGATGCACACCTAGGTTGGTTGTTTGACCTGACTATTGGGAGTCCAGCAGTGGTCAGGTGTCAGGATATCTACATAGTACCTGGCCTTGATTCTTCCAAAAATACACCAAGAAATAATGTAGCCAAATTTAAGGCAGCTCTGTCTTAAGAATATGAGTTCAATTAGTGATAATATCAGCATTATATAGAACAGCTTCAACAGTTTTGGTACATGATTTATACATGAGATAACCTCTAGACTTTTTTTTCCTTTACTTTCCATGAAACATACATCCCTCATTTAACAAATTTGCTTTGATGAACCATTGCCTCTTATCTCTCTATTCGGTAACAGAATTTGGAATATAATATATGAAAATTTTAACAAATAACCTACATTTCTACTTATCCACATGTGAATAGTTAGAAGTGTTAAAATAAGCAAAATTCTTGGTTAATCTTTTTGTGTGTATACGGATGTGTGTCACAGATTTTTTTTTTAAGGAAACCATGGAATCATAGTCCTTACAAGTTAAGTGGGGACAGCTTACAAAAGTGGTGGTCCTGGGGCTCTCTGCATAACATGTAGGTAGCTCAACATGTCGGAGTTTCCTTCAGCCCAATCAGCTGAGAGAAGGAGAGGTTCCTCCCCCAGCAATTCTTCACTACTTCCACAACCTAGGGGAGGAGACTTTTGAGTCTTGTTAATTTCAGGAACTTCTTGAGACTGGTGAAGTGTTTACTTCCTAGGTCTACAAAAAAAATTAGAAAATCATTAAGCAAAGAATTTTATACAATAATTTTAGTACACCTGAATTTTTGCTATAAACATCATGGAAGTCAGATGCAGACTTTCCATTTTTAACATTATGTTGGCAATAAAAATTTTGGATTTGGGAGCGTTGGGTTTCATATTTTCGGATTAAGGATAATCAGCCCATAATAGGTTCCTATTGTCTATTGCATTTAACAAGTTCTGCTTTGCATTTAAGAACCTCTCATAATCTAGTCAATCAAATTTCCCATAATTCCCAAACTGGACATGCTTTGTTCGCAGGCCAAGTCTGCAGCATGGTAACTAAAAATCCCAAGACAGATATTGGGGGTTCAAGCTTCAAGCTGAAGATCAGAGAAGCAAAGCAGCTAAGCCAGATCTTACTTCTGCCCAGCTAAAATAGCAACCCTGTCTCCACAAATCTTCAGAGGCAAAAAGCTCTGAATTCCTGTCTCCTCCACTGCTGGGATTAAAGGTGTCTGATCCCAGGTGCTGAGATCACCTTTGTGTGAGCTGTTTCTTTTAGGATTGGATCAATTTTGTGTAGTCAGTGTGGCCTTGAACTAACCCGGATCCATCTACCTCATAATCCTGAGTCCTGGGATTAAAGGTGTGTACCACCACTGCCCTGGATAGCTAATGTGGCTGCTGGGATTAAAGGTGTGTATCACCAGTGCCTGACCTCTATAGCTTGTGGTTGGCTTTGCTTTCTGAATGCTTAGACAAGCTTTAATAAATCATAAATAATACACCACAAATCCTCTACTCATGTTGTTGCTTCTACACAATCCTTCTCAGGCTAGGTTGTAAGACTGTTGAAGCATCAGAAATGATAAAGTGATCTGTCTGGGGTTACAACCGAGACAGGGCCTGGTCCAGGTGAAGCGAGGCTGGTAAATGCCTGTCTCACCATCTTTCACTTGGATTTTTCTGGGCATTTATTTCTATTTTTCTTTCTTTTCCTTCTGTTTTTACTTTATTATTTTGTTGTTGTTGAAGAGAGCATCTCACTATTTAGCTCTGGCTGTCTGGAAACTCACTATGTGGACCAGTCTGGCCTTGAATTCAGAGATTACCTACCTCTACCTCACAAGTGCTGGAAGGAAAGGCATGCACCACCACACTCAGTGTAGACATTTATTCAAACATCAATTTCTATGATATGATTATATATTGCATACAAGCAGTCGAGACTTTGAGGGAGTAAGAGAGCAAGCAAAGCAAAAGGAGGTACCTTTTGCTATGAACCAACTGAGAATTTAATAAGGGGGCACTATAATAGAGTTGAGTTTAGCATCATGGAATGCTGTAAATGTTTAACAGCCAGATGTCAAGAAACCAAAAGTTCTGATTTTAGCATCACAGATTTCCATGGAATGAATTTTCTCATTGTCAAACAAACCCCAATGGAAGCCCATTGGGGAAAACAAAGTACAGCTGAGCTGGGGGATGCCTGCTCCAGCCCAGCCACTGTGTACATGGTAATGATAACCATAGAGAGGACTTCCTTTGGTTAACTTGCAGACTTGTGAGTGCTTGGTTATTCAGTTTGCTGAAGGGGCAGGTAGGATTGAATTGCATTTACCAACTTAAGATAATAGAGTAACATTCCGGGAGGACTGAGTGGAGGTCTAAATAGTCTTTAGAAGCAAGCAAACAGGGTTGCACAATATACAAAGACATTTCCTGAGCTTCTTTTTGATGATGAAATGATAGCAGTTTTATAATTTATACTCATTCAGGTTGAATTTCTATGCAGATTTTTAACATTTACCAAGACTTACAGCCACTATTCAAGGTTGGAGCTACTTCAGTGGGTGAGAACTGGAATTCTGATCTCCAGCTCCCACATAAAGTCAAGGTGTGTTCCATCTGTAACACCAGCACTAAGGAGGCAGAGACTGGTGGATCCTAGAGGCTCCCTGGCCAGCAGAACTAGCGAAAAGCAGTGTCATACAATGTCAGTCTTTGGTCTCCACAAGTGTGCTCATAAGCAAGGACCTGCATACACACACACACACACACACACACACACACACACACACACACACACAGAGAGAGAGAGAGAGAGAGAGAGAGAGAGAGAGAGAGAGAGAGAGAGAGAGAGAGAATAATGCTGACATTTAAGAAGAGTCCTTGATCCCTGTTTTTAGTTACTCTTTTCTTGTGACAGAGGCCTTCAAATATGCTTTCAAGAAACATTCTGATTTTCATAACAGCACTCATTTCTACATGACCAGTTAAAAACAGAAGCAGGAGCTGGCCTAGGACTGGCAGGACAGAGCTGAGGAAGGGAGGCTAAAGCAGAGATGATGGCAGAGCATGAAACTGGAAAAAGCTGCCTTCCCTTTGGGTGAGTAGAAACAACAGCCTGGCTTTGAGAGTTTCAGAAAGTTGGGATTAGAAAACATTTAAGAACTAGTTGGCAAAAGGTCAGACAAAAAGAATACGAACTGACCCAGCTAGAGGTTAGAAACCTAAATTCATATTAAAACGATCTACCCAAAATAATTTTGGACAACTTTGATTTATTTAAATGAATAAAAACAAAATGTTAATTTATGGACATAATTCGGTCTGCTAATTAGTCATGCAGCGTCGTGTCGCCCTTCGACAGTTTATTTCCATCAGCAGAATTAATCACCGCAGAGCAGATGTAGTGGGGACAATCCAAGGTTAAAACAAATGATACAAAATAATGAACTGGAGCTCAGGCTGATAACCTGGAGAAAGTCATGATTTATTATTCTGCCAGAGTCCTCTGGGGCTATGCAGCCACTTTAAGTGAGGCTCTCTCCATTTCAACCAGATCTCTCTGATTATAGTGATCTTTTACTTTGCATTAATTTTATCTGCCTTTGAAGGTAATGTAACTGTGATAAGAGCCAATTAGTTTTGCACCATCGAGAAACACAATGAAAGAAAACAAAGATAAAATTAACTGTCTAAATGAGACTTCAAGGCAATCTCATCTTTGCTGTTCTCTTGTAAGCTAGAGCACCATACGTTCAGCATCATAAACTGAAGGACGACTATAAGGCTATGCAAGTTGGTTCAGATCCATGCTGTAATGAACACAGCTCTTCTGGAGTAACATTAGCCAGTAATTCAATGCTAACTTTCCACAGAACTTGAGAGTCTATCTATGACTTACATTACAGACAGACACAGATGCCAGCTACTGAATGGGGAAACAACTTGCCTCTTAACTTTTCAAATTTAGGAATTTGATCATGGTAGGAAACTAGCAAGACGTCACCTGATGTCTTCTGCTGTCGCCATTTCCCTGAGTGTTAGCAAATCCAGCAAGCCTCAGGTGTTTCAGTGACTGTGGTACAGCCAAAAGGAAAACATTTGGTAAGGTTCTTTGTTCTGAGGTACTTGTCGGTGCTAGCCTGACCTCTGGTAGGACTTGGGTACAAATAGTGAGTCAACAGTGTAATTGTGAGACGATGGCACACCACAATAGTTAGTTTTCTTTCTTTTTCCATTAATAATAGATACGATAATCTTAATAAAGGTTATTTTTGAAGAATTAAAAAATGATAATAATGTTTGTTGGTTGTTTTTGTTTATTTGTTTGGGCATCTCTTTGTTTGTTCTGTAATAAAATGACTCCCCTGCCACTCACACACAAAGAAAAACAAAAAAAGAAAGAGAGGTTGGGGACTTGGCTGTTAGCTGTTGAACAAAGAATTTGGTCTTCACCAAAAAAAAAAAAATGAATTTTAAATACTGACTATTTTGACTTTATAAGAAATCTGCAATGAAAAGTAAAATAAGAAAAGGCAAACACTGATCTTGACTACATGTACAACATCTGATGAATTCTCTGTGACTATAGTGTTAGTGGATGAAGGGAAATCAAACAGATGATTGCCATGGAGAGAGTAGAATGAACAAATGGTGTTAACTCATAGAAGAAGAAATAATGAGGCAAATAAACCCAGAGGGGAAAGAATCAAACTTAAGTAACACATAGCAGTATGTTAAAACATACTCTTCTCTCTCATCAAGGAAGAAAAGGAAATTCATATACAAGGCTAGTTAGAAAAGGGAAAACAGATTCCTAAGGGCTTGGTTGGAAGTTCTATCAGGGGAGTGCAGGTACTTACACACCCTTGGCCAAATGATGATCCATTTCCTTCAGAGAAAGTGGTCCTCGTTAACTAAGTATGCAGCATGAAGAGAAATGAGGGAGGAAGGTGTGTCATCACGGTTCTGTTGTTGTGAAGAGACACCATGACCATGGCAACTCTTATAAAGGAAAACATTTCATTGGGGCTGGCTTACTGCTTCAGAGGTTTAGTCCATTATTGTCATAGCAGGAAGCATGGTGGCATGCAGGCAGACAGGAAAAGGGGCTGAGAGTTCTATATCTGGATTCACAAGCAGCAGGAAGAGAACTGGCTTGAGCTTCTGAGACCTCAAAGCTGATCCCCACAGTGACACACTTCCTCCAACAAGGTGGCACCTACTCCAACAATGCCATGCCTCCTAATAGTACCACTCCTCATGAACCAAACATTCAAACACATGAGTCTGTGGGTGCCATTCCTATTCAAACCACTACAGAAGGGGACATTGGTTTATCTAGACACATCAGCAACATCAACCCTGGCAATCAGTGAGATGACAGATGTCACAGACAGATCACCATTACATCCAGGAAAATAGAATCTCATATTGTTCACACAACCATAAACTGGTAGTGAAGGGCCCAGAATCTCACCCAGCCCCTGTTGTGGCAGCCATGACAGGCTGCAGAAAAGACCCAGCAAGACGTAGGCCTCTGACTCAGCAACATGTGCTGAGCTCTGGACCTTGTCTGACCTTGCCCTAATCACTAGGAAGCCATCCTCCATGTGGCAAGGAACCAATCAGAAGTTAGCTGGCGGGCTCTAGATGTGCTTTACTGGTAATAGTGGAATGATTAATAATAACAGAATGCACAGCATAGCAATTGCCCTGGGAGGG